ATGTTGGATTGCCGTGGTCCTCACAGAGTCAGAGACGGTCACGAGTGATTTTTCATATTTTTCTGCGTTATAGCGTCTTGACGGCCGCGGCCGGCGTGGAAGTCACGAACGGAGATCCTTGCGAGAGCCTCCTCGAACTCCTCGTCAGCGCATGGTGGATTGGTGGCGCGGTGGTAGCGGCGCACAGTGGATCGAGTCAATTAAAAAGGTCGGACTTGAAATTTTTGACTGCAACTGCAAATTTTGATGTTTATTTCGTCACATTCTAAATTTCCAGGGGCGCTTCCCGAAGAAATTTTTACGAGAAAACCAATGGAACCACTTCTGGAACCTGAAAGTTTTGTCTAAACGCACTGGAAAAAAAACCACATTGGATCTAGAGTCCAGACTCTTGAAAACATTGACAATTGACAAAATACTCTTGATTCAATCGAATGTTTGCTTGAATCAAAACGAAATCCGCTTAAATTAAGAGGCTTGGTTCTTGATTTAAGCTAGATTCTGATTGAATCAAGAGTACATTTTCTTGTCGATGTTTTTAAGAGTCTGGACTCCAGATCCAATGTGTTTTTTTTTTTCCAGTGCGGAGTTTTAAGCGTTTAAAGTCTCCGAACTTTGTCCGACCTCTCCTATCGACTCAGTCCACTGTGCGGCGGCGGCGGGAGCAAGAGCAGGTCCTTGACACCTCGCGGAGTCGCGAGTCTCCACCTGCACTCGCGGATCGCGGGTTCGCGGCGCGGATTTGCGACATCGCCACCACGGACCCCGGCGAGCCCGGCTTCAGACCCATTACCGCGCTAATCGCATGCGCGTCCGCGTTGACAGGTCGATCGGGAAATCCCAGATAAGGGTGCCGGAAAAAAAATTAATACTGGGTGCCAAACGTTACTAATACATAATGGAGATGTTGCATGTGTTAGAAATTTGAGATTTGACTATAGATTTTTACGTATAAGTTCGCGAGAAACACGATGGTCCCACTGGTTTTCCCTGAAATCAACTCCCAAGCTCAAAAAAAGCTCTCAAGTTGAGGCCAAAATGGAGGAGATATCCCACGCTATCCTGAGAGTCCACCTCTACATCAAAACAAACTATCTCCATGCAAAGATTTGCATGCAACATGCAACATTTCCATTTTGTCATAATAAGACTATTTAGCAGTGGCGTAGATGGAGGGTGGACGGGGGTCCGCCCCCCCCCCACCCATTACGACCCAAGAATGATGGAATTTTTGTACTGGTTGTTCCAGGGTTGAATGGCTGCTGCAGATATGCAGCATAGTATGTCATAACATGAAGCACTGGCATAAATGAAGGATGGCCGGGGGGTCTGTCCCCTCTGGTCCCTTCCCTAAAACCGGTCCGATATTGGTCTTGAAAGTGGTCTCTTTCACGGAAAAAACGATGTAGTGCTGAACACTAACTGTTTAGATCAAATAGAGCCAGACCAGTGCTGGCATGGCGTGAAAGACCGAGTATCGATATTTCCCCATTTGAAGCTGTGGTAAATAATCGATTACTAAGGTGTTCGCTGCGAACACCTTGTTTATCGATCCTTTTCCATAGGATTAAATGGCAGATCAATCGATATATCGCAAAACACGCCACGCCACTGAGCCAGATTGTATGGCAGTAGTGCTGAGCCCTCTCAAAAATCTTACTTTCAGAAAGTTTAAAAAAGCTTGGTCTTAAGTATGCTTTCGAAATCATTATAGACGTTAAACCAACAGTTGTGGCATAATAGAGATTTGTATCATATTTCATGATTATATTGGTCAGTCGTCATAATTTGTTGTAACTGCAATTTTGTAAGAGATACACACTCCTGCTGCACTCACTCACACGAGCGCTCCTATAGAAATCACGTACACGTGCATACATTGCATCATAAAAAGGCTAAAAGCTACAATACCCTAATCGGCTTTTGAGAGAACTCAACCTTCTTTCCCTCCTGTCCTTCAAAGAGCAAAAATCTCCTCCCGCATAACCCCCGAGGGCTCCACTCACATACAAAACACGCCGAAGCTTTCTCTAGTTAATCGGTAATATTTTTGACTCTAGTCGTGGGAGGGTATCCTGGCCGTTTCGATAAATAAAGGAGTAATATTTCGTTACGAAGTGGCCGCGGAGTTTTTTCGGGGCCTGGAAGAAAGTGGTCGATTTTTCTGCGTGACGCCCGGCGGCAATTCGTAGAAAGTTCGTGAGCTGAGACTGGATGCCCTGCACGATGCAGACAATGTAGTGGCACTGAAGCTGAGTGCGTGAAATACCAGTGCAGTTTACTCAAAATCGCATGCTACTCGCACACTTTTACGGCCAAAAAGTTTTACTGGCCAATATTATGAATAGACTACGGAAGAATCTCAATAGTTTAAGCGTTCATGTTGTTACGCCATATGCATCTTTGATGACTCTTTTACTTTCAGACGTATAAGTTCCTGTTTTAAATTAGTTAATCTAACTTTAAGCACATTAAAATACGTTGTAGGGACACTAAATATTGTAGGAGGGCTGAAGTCCCTTCAATTAGTCGGTTATGCAACGTGCCTACTTCGAAGTTTGAATAGTGGTATCATTCAGTTTCAAGTTCAAAAAACCACTCTTTGCTCCAGTGCTCTAATCTCTATTTGCAGCGTTCTTGGTGAAAAGGCCGTCGTTAGGAAGATCGTTAGGAAGACAAATTGACAAGAACAAATCAATGACCCACGTGCTAATATTTCATACAACTGTTTCTCTGGGATAGTTTACAAAATTTCAAAAGTGAAGATTCACTTTGTAAGTGCCATCATCTTGAGCGGCTTGACTTCCTTGATACAAAATATTAGGGCCCTTTCAAGGATCCGGATGATTTTTTTATTGATCTATGTGTTGATTCACTCGTTATTTCCCTCTCTCAACATTCCTCGAAAGATTATGTCTCGCTGTAATGCTCCTCCTCTTCGAAACGTATCGCTTCCTTTTCTAGCCTTGCGTTAAAGTCTCCGTGGATATTGATAACTCAACGCCCGTAATGAAGGTTAATGAAACTTAAAGAAAACTTTCAACAAATATTCACTGAAACTAGTGAAAGCGAAAGTGTACCTGCAATTTAAGATACCATTTTCTTATCAACCTCCTCCTCCCCCCCCCCCCCCCCCCCCNNNNTATGTTGAGTTTTAGTTTGAGCCTTTTCTTGTCTTTCTTTCCTCCAAATGTTTTCCAACTCTATTTTGTGCAGTGTTATCAAAATTTCAAACCATAATTTGAACTCCATCTAAATGACCAGGGTGTCTACACGACCAGAATTTCCGGAAAGTCCGAAAATAGTACTGCTTTTTTAAGTGGGGGTCCGGAAGTACTGAAAAAGTGCGGAATTTTGCAGGAGGTCCGGATTTTTTTTTGGTAATTTTTGTCTCAATTTGAGCAAGATATTAAACTTTTTTTTAAAAATTTCGAATTTTGTCAAATGGATGTACTGAAAAAGTGCTAAATTTTTCTGTTGAAGAGGTACTGAATTTTTTAGGAATGTACTGAAAACGTACCACAAAAGTACTGTAAAAATACTGATTTTTGGCCAGCCTGTTTTAGTAGACACCCTGATGACGCAAAAATAGGTATACTTTAATTTACATGTTTTCCCCTTTTCTTTTGAGAACTAGACGTTTTGCACAATGTGTGAGGGATTTATGTTTTTTTCCCATGCCGCACACTCACGAACTATGTAACTAAGTATGCGGGCACAGCGTAATGACAATTTATGACATTCAAACCACTGTGGACTCACATGAATCAACCATCGGTCAGTCTATGTATGTATATAGGTTAGCAAGTCACCGGAAGTTCTGATTGATTCGTTTTTCATGAGATCCTCGCAGAAGTCTCCTCTCCGTGGCAAAGGGGGGGGGGAGGTCTATTTAATATAAGTTAGTCGTACCACCGTGGGATCATTCATCACGACATCTCCTCGCTCTGTTCAGAAAAAAAACGAAGTTTCATTTTTTCTTGAGCCTCGGACGGCCTAAAGACATATCCACTGTAGGGCTCATCTCAAAACTTTAATGATACTTTACATCATGTTGCTGGTCGAGTAACAGTTTCTGCTAGAACGCGTTTGCACTTCAATCCCTCCGTGTATTATCACGCGATTGCGTCCAATTCTAATAATAAAGCAGCACTCCATATATTTTTACTCATGGCTAATTGGACCACATTTTGCAATAAGGAACCACTATTTCTGGCTCGTTTTAGAAATAACATATATGCCATGGGTTTTCCTATGCAGAAAGGTGCTTTTATGGAAGAGCCAGAAATAGTGGTTCCTTATTGCAAAATGTAATCCAATTGTAAGTAAAAAAACGTTCCTGATATTTAGTAGAAGGGGATACCACGCTTGTTGGAATAAAGCGATTGTCACTATTGAGGTGATAAATGAAGACCAGTGTTCGAAACTCACCTTCGAGTTTCAGGAGCGATGCGGCCCATCAAGCTCAATTTTTAGGGGCCATTGAAGAATTTGTAGGGGCCAAATTGACTTTTTGCCTATATATCACGGCGCATTTTGTGAAAAGTCAGATGTAAGATGTTTTAGTTACAGAACTAGTTGCTGTGACTTGGAACTTTCGAAAAATCACCAAACAGAAAAATTGGGATTTTTTTTTTTTTTTTTTTTTTGGGGGGGGGGGGCACTTTTTAAAGGCCACGTTGGAGCAGAGCCTTCATTTTTTAGGCGTCATGGCCGATTTTTAGGCGCATTTGGCGCGTTGACGCCTATGAGTTTCGAATACTGATCAAGACTCAGTATTTTCAAGTCTAGTGTGTCTTACAAGATTGATCAATCTTGGATCAATAGACCCAAAAATTCTTCAATTTTTGGTAGATGTAAATTTAAAAATGCTTACACGCGTGAAGATTAGAATTGACCCTTTTTTTCAATTTGTTTGCGTATAGGTATACCTAATACTGTTAGGTATATATTCAATAAGATTTTTCTCAAGCATAATATAGATTATTTTCTGATTTCAGGAAGAAACTGAAGAGGTCAAAGACGCTTTGGTAAGTCCTGTTTTATCCTCTTGATTTTACTTTCCACGAGGTTTACGTCATCTCGTCAACTTGTCACGAATCCCGAATAGCGCACAGTGGGAGAGATGTTGATCTGATGGGAAGTAAATACAGTTTGGACTCGTCGAAAACTCGACCTCTGACTCGAAAATTTGAGACCCGACATTACTCTGACCTGTTCGTTTCAGGAAATTTGTAAAGAGTGCAGCCCAGAAAAATGAACAAATAGATGAGTAAACCAAGAATATAACCCTGAAAGACGAAAGTAAACCAATAGCCTCTCAATATCTCATTTTACTAAAACGAAGACGATCCCATTTGTTGAATGTTCAATCCAGTTTATTGTGATATGAAATCTATATTCAACTGCATATTTAAATTCAACTCAATCATATATTCTAATTTGGAGTATTTTGAGGTTATAAGTAGAGAACTTAAAATCTCCTTACATAATTTGAGAAGAGCCTTATCAACATATCGCGCTAAAATAAAGTCACATCTTTCTTCGTGCACCATTTCCTAAATTCATGATTTCAGTGGATTTAAACGTGGCAGTCATTCTAGGTCTGCACGTAAAATGCAATAAACACTTCGTCGTCTCCCTAACGAAGGAGCGTAACTCCATTCCAAGGTTGCCAAAGTCACTAAAACAATTAATTTACTTTAATAAAATGTACTAGTCCTTTTTTTGTCCTAAATTCTTCAGATTTTTGCATGAAATCCGAGGAAAAATTAGTGAAATTTTCAGTCAGGAATGCCCAAGAGTCTCCTGGTTAATATGAAAATTGCAAGGGTAAATTCGGTAACATTAAAATTTAGTTACGTTCGTTTGTGAGGGAAACGACAACTTTTAATGTGCATCGCACAGGATGCTAGACACACCTTCCGTCAAAAACTAAAATACTTTAGTAGTATTTTTAGTTACGGTCATAACTTCGTCCAAGAATTTTCATGTACCTGAAAATTGTTATCTTTATTCCTTGAACTATTTTTAGTAGAGCCTCAAATTTGTAAACTTCCTAAATCGAGTCCGAGTCCACTGTGAGGAGCATCATCCTAAATTTGAGTCAGCAACCTGATCGGTGATCTGGTCTGATCAACTCAATTTGAATACAGCCGGAGAAAGAATTCCCGAGCCGTGGACCGGGGGGTGAGGGGGGAGGGTGTGACTCAGTACGATCGACGCGTAACAGTCGGGTTGACCGTTAGTTACATTTGAGCCGATTTCTTTTTGTGATCTAACCGAATGCGGTCATTTCGGATTATGATCGAAACGGACCGGTGTCCCTTCGGAGCGACTCGGACCCGGACTTTCCGATACTGTTGCCTCATCGATTGTGATCGTTGGAGTCCGTTGATACTCTTAAGTAAGAAAGTAAAAAATGACGTAAATGACTAGCTCCGATCGAAGTTAGGGAACTCGAAGGATCAGGTGGCAGGACCGTCTCCCGGTTACTTACAAGTAGAATCAGCGTCCATTGAAGCGGGGGATTATGGGACGATATTGCACTGTGAATTTTTTAAGTCAGTTTGAAAGTGTTTACCACGCACTATGCATGTGAGGCTCTTATTGACTTGGGTGAATCAATCGAGGTCTCTGCCATAAAGTTCAAAGAAAGCACTATTACGGTGACACCTTGCAATCCGTACAAACAGAGCTATCAGAAAAAACACTATCACTGACCTCGACTTTCCTTTTATCTACTCAATTTTGGGGGCTTTTTTAGTTAATCTATTAGGGTCTCAAAGATCTATCGCGACCTCTAAATTTAAACTAATTTAAGAATATTCCGCAACGGTTGCTTTTACATAATTTGTTTCAAAATATGTAAAAAGAAGCATGGCAGGGACTCCTGCAAAGTTCAAAATTTCTCTATTTGAATATATTTATTTAACTTGAGGCAACCTAAAACTTTGATCTCGTGTGATTTTAGATTTTGTCAGACATTCATGACCCTTAAATTTTCCGAATACTTCTGTCATCTAGACAGAAAACTTTGATGTTCCATATGGACTGAAAGTCCAAAGATAAATGCCTCCGAGTTACTGCCCACTACGGAAGAAAAATCTTCGGTTACAAGAATCTAATTTTAGTCTAACAATAAACGCTTTCAATTCAAGCTTTTGTTCTCGATGACCGAAGTATTCTGTAAAGTTCACGAAAATTGCAACTCCCCCCCCCCCCTTGGAGGATGACAATACTTCCTCTACCCCAGGGTAGCGAGATAGTAAAAATGACAAGTAGCTGAAATTGTGGAACGAATTGATGCGATATATCTACGTCGCTTTGAAACAAAAAATGGCAACCGCCGAATCACCGATTTCCTAGAGTCTGGACCGAGCTTTATCCTCGCTACACAAACTAACACTTGACTAAAGATGCTAAATGGAAGCATAGGTAGAATTGCTAGAACACTCCCAATGAGGAAACCAAGTCGGCTCAAAAATTTTAGGAGAAACCGCAGGCCGACTCGCGCGTCCGGCGGCCAATTGACCGAAGGTCAAGCGGCGTGGCGGCAGAGGGTTCTCGGCGGGCGATTAATTTCGACAATTACACGATTTAGTAGCTCCGCGGCGCTTGCATAATCAACAAGTCCCCCAGCCAGCAGCGCAGCGCCACGAAAATTCATAATTTATGCACTTCTGGGAGGAAGCGCAAGCACACCCCGCGACCCGGGGCGTAACGGGTGCCACCGGTGTGACAGCGCCACCGTGCCGCTACTTTCATTTTTATGAATGAAAGCGTACGTCCGAGCCGTGCGAACCGCGAGCCAATCTGACGCTCGCGCCGGGTTTTTTGTTTTCATTCATGGTTAGCGCCGCCCGGATCCGGCGAGCCGCAACCCGGATCTCTCCGCGCATGCGCATTTGTGTACCGAGTCGTACTTGCACTTGTCCGCGCTAAGTAAGAACGCCGTACGTGCCATCAGGCGTTGCCGATTTTCCTCCGACAAATCACGAATTTGCAGGGAAATTTGTGAATATTTTTCCTAAGATTTGGATTGTAATTAGATCTAAAAACAGGTCATCTGCAAGTCCGAAATTTCCGGAAAGTCCAGAAATAGTACTGATTTTTTAAGGACAGTCCGGAAGTACTGAAAAAGTGCGGAAATTCGCCAAGAAGGTCCGGAATTTATTTCATTTTCGTCGGTCACTAAGCGATAAATTCAAATTTTTGAAATTTTCCGAAATTCGTCAAATGGAGATACTGATAAAGTACTGAATTTCTTAAGAATGTGCTGAAAAAGTACCGTAAAAGTACTGATTTTTGGCCAGCCTGTTCTAGTATAGACACCCTGAAAAAGTTTGAGAATTTCGAGGACAAATATTCGTTGTAACTTTCTTCAATAATAAATATTTTCCAAGAAGAAATTTGGCAACACTCGAATGGTTGTACGGCGTTTTTAGTTAGTTGTGCTCGTCTGTCGCCGCATAGCAGTGGCCATCGTCTGCAGACCGTGCACTCGAAAAAATTGGCGAGGAATTACAAGATGAAGGCGTCGGTTTTGTTTCGGACGCCATCTGGCAGATGTGACGTCACTATGGCCAAACGGCGAAGAAAGTCATTACATGAGGACTTTTCAAGTGTGGGAATTTGATTAATTTCATTTGAATTGGAAAACATTGAGAAAGCTACGTACGAATATATCTTCGGTTTTTTTAATTATTGAACGATCACTAGAAATACTACGGCAGCCTGGTATAAGCCACCACCGCGGAGAAGCCACTTGCTGTCCCTTTTCGAAACATATGGCAATGATGCAAATGGCTAGTATTCGCAGTACGTGGCTGAGATACATATGAGGAAGCTTATTAGAAGCAAGCGGCTTCGCGGTATATCTCAGGTTTTGTCTCGTGAATATCAGCGGCGTGTCTTCCCTCACGATGGATCGATTGATCTGCCGTTTAAACCTATGAAAAAGAATCGACCATCATAGAGATCGCAACGAATACCTTAACAATCGATTTTTTACCATAACTTCAAATGGGGAAATATCGATAGTCAATGACGATGACTAATGCTTCACCACTGGCGTTTTGTCTTGTGGATACCCATAAAGGATACCCGTCCTCGGTCAGTGTGTATATTGATTGGAAGCCATTCGAAATCGGGATTTTGAAAATGATCGCCGCACAGTGGATCGAGTCAATTAGACAGTTCCGACGTGAAATTTTTTACTAATACTGCAAATTTTGATGTTTATTTCGTTACATTTTCAATTTCAAGGGGTGCATATGCCCGGGAATTTCACGAGAAAACCAATGGAACTACTTTTAGAACCTCAAAGTTTTGTATGGACGGAGTTATAAGCGTTTAAGGTTTCCAAATTTTGCCCGACTTCTCCTATTGACTCGATCCACTGTGCGCCGGCGGAGATTCAGGAATCTCGAAATGTATCGAGGCGGGTTTCTTATTGGTCGATTGAAAACGACAGCCCCTCGATCAGTCGCCCGTCCGTAAGTGATAGACTATCGATTTATTTCATCGATTCCTACAACTCCTCGATTTCTACGATCGATCGCGCTTCTTTCCGAAGTAGTTATCACCAGTGACGAGGCGTGAATGATCGATTATCGATATATCCCGATTTGAAGCTGTGGTAAAGAATCGATTATGAAGGCGTTCGTTGCGAGCATTCTGTTTATCGACCCTTATCAATCAGTTGAAATGGCTGATAAATCCATAAATCACGAAGCACGCCACTGGTTATCGCTTATTGGGTCAAATCAGGAAGCTGTTGAAATGATCATTTTCTCGTGGCCATTTTCATTCCCTCAAATGTTGAGCATTATGAATTTTATAATCTAAGTATACGATCCGTCAGTTTTTGCCGGCCTAGTTCCCAGGCGGACTGGAAGTCGGATGTCCGTTTCGGGAGAAAAATGGTTCCGATATTAGGGTAAATTTCAGGATTCCCATCAGCATATTTGATTTCTGTGCACGGAAGAAGTATGGGAAACTGTTCGATCGTGCGTTATTTTGCATCGTT